GGGCCTCAACTTCAACAAGCGCTCAGAAAGGGAAGCCATTCGACCTGCAATCAAAAAAGAATCGTTAGCCGGGTGTAGAGCATGAAAAATAACACGGGCACGTCCCCGCTTAAAGATAAGCAAAATTAATCATCATGGCTACGTCCCACTACCTAAGAGCCTCATGGCTTCCCCGTCTGAGGAGCACTCGAGCAGGGCCTTGGTGTTGATCAATCTATTAACTAAAAGATACCCCCCCTCGCTATCGAATATGAGGTTGTTATTCACATCCACGCACTTCGTGAGGGAGAAGCTCCTAACATAGGCCGACAGCTTCTCATATGAAAGTTGGTCCTGAGCATTCAGGTCCTCGGGCTTCACGGCGTAATATTTAGGTATTTGCTCGAAGTGCTTCCATTGCCACTCGAGAGGAAATATGGCCACGAGCCAGGTGACTGGCCGTCCGTCTTCCACCTCCTCCACGCGAGTGTACAGGGAATATATGGTCGCGTCCGTCAGAGGCTTCACAACGAGATACCTCTCTTTGAAGTTTCGGACATACTCTAGATAAGGCCTGAAGAGCTTCCTGGACTGCTTGAATGACACCCAAGCCTGACCCCTCTGACAGATTGTCTTTGGAGATGAAAGATACGGAAAAAGAGGGGCAACGTGGCCCCTGTCTGCAAATACTGGCATACAAGCTCGAACGCTCGCATAAACGCCAGCGCATGCGGGTGAAGCTGAGAGGGCGCTAGTTGAATCCATTGAAATACCCCTACTTGGAAATCATTAAAGGGTAAATGCATCCCCGCCTCTTTAAACGCGAATTCGTACATAAGGAAACTTTTGCCCAGATACGTCGGGCATATTCTCTGATTGTATTGGGAATTTGGAGCATCCAGTTGGCGGGGGTCCCTTCCGCCCGTACCTCTGGACAATTGAATGCATCAGTCGCGTCTTAAGAAAAGCACGACCGTTTATTTCGGGGCTCAGGAGCAACCCAAGCCAAAGGGTCCTCGTCACCGTGTGACCCGTCTTCATAGTTGGCGCCCAAAATGACATCCTCGACTGAGTGTGCCATTATACCTGAAAAGTAGGGGAAAATTGTGAATTCGACATTATCAAATCCATCCTTCCACCACAAATCAAGTGAAAGGGCGACAAACTTGACCCAAGCCCTCGACGACACGCTAAAGCGGACTACATTTTCGTTGGGAGATTACGTAGTCGTGGGGGTGTTCACTCATCAAGAAAGAAGCCCGAGACAATCCCTGTTATCCGGGAAGAACGTCCCCTATGTCACAACCACTATTCGGGGAGATCTCCGCCGATGCCATAACTAGCGAATATCAATGAACATTCATGAGTGTTAGTCATAGAACTCATGAACTTCATGAGTGTTCATCATAAACTCATCCAGCCAAGGAAAATTTTAGAGGTTTAATCAAGAAACTCTGAAGAACACATGTTGTTGAGGGGATATAACTTACTTGGATGAATAACTCTTGGAGAAAAATCTGGGAAAGTTAGGGAGACAACTTTGTGCGCGAACAAGAGAAGTTGAAGGAGAACTTGAGAAAATGATAAATGAAGACCCAGGGGCCCCTTTTTATAGGTGACTCATGCCCCACGAGGTCTCTCATGAAAAGTCATCATTTAATTGTGCCTTTTGGGTTTCCCCTTGAAGGGGTGGCACCCCAAAGCGTTAGCCACGTGGCTCAACAGTCAACCATGTGTCCTTTCTAGATCGACGAGCATATCCCCGACTCCAATGCGTAATCCCCATACGACCACGAGGCATATTATCCACACGGGGGATGCTCGACGTCACGGTGCATACACGAGTACATTTATTCAATTACCTCAAGGATGAAATAATGCTCGACATCTCGAACAACTCCTTAGAGACGGTCGCATCAAAAGAGATCTCGTGGAGGCTCTCTGTAACTAATACGGTCCTCTTGAGTAGGCAACTGACCTCTTCGGGTTACTGCTCGTTCACCCATAATATCCCCGATACATTTAAACAGGTTATCCCCCACGTCGGCAGCTACTCGTTCCTTTTGGAGGACTCCGACTGTCTTTCCCGATCAAGTCTCCGGCCATGAAAGCTGAACTTAAGTCATCACCCTTTCGCTCAAGGGAAATAACTTGGGGGGCTCCTGATCTGGACTGGGCCTACGCTTGCTCCTCGCGTAGGAGGCCCAAACCATAAGGCCCAAAGAACAGACAACCCAAGTTGGGGGACCGTTGGGCAACTCCCCACATATCTGTTGGGGAACGTGACCCACGTCCTCAGGTCAGTCACCTTAACTGCCCTCTGGGAATCACGAGTCTAACCCCTATTCTCATGGAGCAGTTAACCAGGAGGAGTCCATTTGCTGGACTCCATACACACGTAAGCCCTGACAGTTCTCATTATTGGGCCTCAGCGTGGCCCAATAATGGGAACCTTGGCCCAGCGTTGGAGGCTATAAATACTCTCCCTTCTGAGAGGGTTAGGTATTCAACACTTTCTAAACTCTCATACTTGCTTGCTCATTCCCAAATTCATTTTGGCATCAGAGTATCTTGCAGGTACCCTCTCCTCCCTCCACTTCACTCTCAATATCTACTCGAGCTAGCTATGATGGTTCATTCTGATCAGATACGATCATATATATTAACATTCAATTTTTGATTATAATATAGATATCTTTTTAATATAATAAACTTTCTAATTACAACATAATAATTAATTATCAATTCTATAATGAAAACTAAAAAGTGTCGTCTAAATTAAACTTAACTTTTAAGGTTATAATTATAAATATTTCTTATATTTTTATAAAAAATTATTCATAATTTTAAATAAAAAATTAAAAAACAATTACACTTCACCATTATAATTAGAAATTTAATTATTACATTTATTGTTTAATTTCATATAATAAATTTATTTTAATATTTGATTTTTAATTATAAATTTAAATTATTCTTCATTATTAATAACTCAATTTAATTATATTATAAATAAATATTTTTTCAAAATAAAATAATTTTTTTTTTGAAATATTAGACTATTTCAGATATGCATATCCTAAATCTTTTTGAAAATAAAATATAGGAGTCCGTTCGAATATGCAATATCTAAAATAACTCAATATCTCAAATTCGTAAGATATTTTCAAATATACATATTCAAAAATTATTTTTGAATTTTTAGAGATCTACAAGAAGACATCCAGGTGAAAAAAAAATTCTCATAAGAGAATAGCAATAAGTGGGCTTTGTAGCCCAGTCCACTTCAAATGTGAATGATCAGAAAAAGAAAATAAAAAAAGAAAAAATGTGACAAAAGCAAAACACCCGCATTTAGGTTAAGCTCTTATGACCTTTCGCCTGCTTTTGAATCTGATTTCCCTCTCTCTTCTCTCAGCTCACTCTCTTTCAGTTTTCAGATAATCGCCGCACCGGCATGCCTCATTGCGGCGACCGCGGCGGCTAGAACCCAGAAAACGAAATTGAAACAAAAAAGCTTCGTCTCACTTCCCTTATCCCATACCCAGCCTTTGTTCCCAACAATTCGTCCTTAATCTCACCACATCTAAACAAATGTAAAACCCTAGAAAAACTGATATCTGAAATTAAATGAAGGTGAAGCCCGATCTTGAGCCAAAACCTTAGGGAAAGTACTCTAGGGATGCTAAGCTACCACGTGGTATAAAAAATACAATGAAAGGAGCTAGGTCACACCTAGCTCACGGTGGCGATGGAGGTGAAGATGCACTAACGAAGGTTGAAATGTTCAGGTACGTCTCTTCGTTCTTTAACTCTTCTTCTTCTTCTCTTCTTTTGCGTTCTCTATCTTCTTATTCTCTGCACTTCTGAATTTCTGTGTGTTATGGTTGTTGTACCTCTGAGCTTGTGGTTGCAATGAGAGTGATAGAGGTTGAAGTGTGAGGGCGTGAAGAAGGTGAGGACGGCGGAGGTTCAGAGAGAGATAGAGTGAGAGGTTGGTGAATCTCTGAGTTGCAGAGAGAGTTTGATGACGAGAGGATGAAGAAAGGTGAATATTGAAAATGGTTGAGGGTGAATCTGAGATGATTCTGAACTTATATAGGTGATGAATGAGGTTGAGTCAGTTAGAGGGGAATGAATATTAGCCTTAGGATCTGAAGTTTTCAGTTGTGGATCGATGGTGAGGATTAGAGAGTTTGTTAGATGGAACTTGGTTAGTTAGGGTTGTTGACTAAGTGAGTTGGGAAGGACTCAGTTAGTTAGAACTGAGTTTTCTATTAGTTGCTTGAATGAAACAGTTAACGGTAAGCTCGGTTAAATCTGTTATGAAGTTACAGTCAAGAAGTTGGAGTTAGCTGAAGGAAATGGTTAGAACAGTTAGTGTGGAAATCAAATTGAAGTTAGTTTGAATACACTGCTTGGCCTTGATTTTTCTTAGAGTTTGGTTTTATATTGATGTATATATGGCTGCCGCTTTGGATGATGTTTGGATATTTGGCTTAAGTTTGTGAAGGTGTATGAAATATTAATTGTTATGACTTGTGGATTTGTGGTTTTGAAATTCGTATCTGATATATGAACATGGTTTATGAACTCTAATTATGCTTGAAATTGTTACGTCTTTATTACCTTATGATGATGATAATGGTGTGCTTATGGTTTGGATTATGTACGATATTTTGAATATGTTGTTGTATGTGGAACTATTTTGAGATGTGGTATGGCTGTTTTGGACTTGGTTCATGATTTAGTATGAAACAGTTGTATAGCGTTTTTAATGGTATTTGTATGGGGCTGATTTTAGTACGTTTATGGTAATGTTGCAGGTTCATTGACAAGGTATGATGTGGTTTGGTTTGAAAGCTTGAAGAAGAAATTAAAAGATGGACTTTTGGCATAGTATGGTAGATTACAAGATGAAGCTGAAGATGGTACAGAAAACTGAAGGAATAGGTCTAGGATAGTCTGTTGACTTTGGTCAACTGTTTGACTAAAAAGTCAATAGTTGACCAAAAGTCAACTTAAGTCAAAATGTAAATTTTTCTTGTAACTTTCTTGATGGTAATGGCAATTGTATTTGGATCTTTGTAATGGAATGTGAATCTTGTAGAAATATGTAATGACTTCTTTTTCAAAATGAAATGTATTCTTTCCCTCCAAATTGGACTTGAATTTAGGGGTGTTCGCGGTGCGGTTTGGGCGGTTTTGAAGCAAAAAATCATCCGAACCGCAAGAGAAAAAAGCATGCGGTTCGGTTTGGTTCGGTTGACTTTTAAAAATAAATCCGAACTAAACCAAACCAAACTAATGTGGTTTGGATTGGTTCGGTTGTTTCGGTTTTTTACAAAAATAATTATTATGTCATACATACAAATATATAGGAAAATATAATTTTATATTTAATTGTTCATACATTACCATACAAAATTTATAATTGTCGAAATAAATTTATAATTTGATACATAAAATTGCGTATTATAATTTTATCTAAATCTAAATAATGATATCAACAAGATTGCATTCTTAAATAAATATTATACAAAGAATATGATAAAATATATTTTGTAAAAATAGTATTTATAAATGAATAATATTTTATTTTTTATGATTTGTAAATTAAAATGAATATAATACAAAGTATGATAAAATATACACATAATACATGTTGATTTCTCTAAAGAATTATAGAAATATATATTGGTTAGTAAGATTTTATAACATAATGCGGTTTTGTTTGATTTGATTTGATTTGTAAAATACAAACCGCAAACCGAACTGAACCATGCGGTTCCACGAGAAAATGACCCAAACACATCCGAACCAAATACGGTTTTTTGCGGTTTCGGTTTGGTTCGGTTCGGTTTTGCGATTTTCTATTGGGCCGGTTTGGTTTTGAACACCCCTACTTGAATTTGAAATTACAATCTTTCTTCACTTGCAAACTTGAATAAACAATAATGTAAGATGAAAACCACCAAAAGTTTAATGTGGACTTAGGTCAAAAGTTAACCACCCATGGTTGACTTTGACCAAAAGATAATATTTTATCAAATGGTTTCTAAACTTAGAAATGATTCCACTCTAAAAGCATGTTTCCTATCACATCCTTGAATACAGTTCCAAAGAAAATGTCTTGTAACACAAGTAATAATCATGAGTCAATCTTCAATTGATGAACAAGTCCAAGTGAAAACCCTCATGTTGAAATGAATCACATAATAGTCATAACAAAACTCTAAAATTAACTGGTAAATGCAAGCATAAAGAATTGAATCTCAATCCATGATCCATGGGAATATTGGTTGAAAACAAACCCTCATAGGTAAAAAAAACTTTGATCCACGTGAAACCTTAGCTCACCATGTACATTGATCCATTGTCAAGCTTTATTGCTCAATGAATGCATGATATGTTAATGACCAGTAAAAGGTGATGCATATGAAATGAGAAGCATACGCCATATGGATTGAATGAGGGGTAGGAAAAATTTAGGATATGACAATGATGATATTTATAGTTTCTCTTAAAGTGACACAACTGAAGAAATAAATATGTATTATTGTTCCACTCCTAAGAGAGAAGTAATCTCTTTGCATAATAACAACAAGACAAAATAATTGAATATTTGAGCTTTGGTATCCCTAAAAGGACATCCTTGAAAGATGATCAAGGAAAAGAAAAATATCAAAGATAAGAGGAAGTCTGAAGTCCAAATGGTGAGACTCAAGTTAAAGAAGTTGACTTAGAGAATCAATGTCTAAGAATGAAGGATCATTAAGGACCAACCCATTCAGAATTTTAATGAAGATTTTTCTAAGTGAATTACATCTCAACTCTCCCTTAGCAAGGTATGTAACCTTATGACTTTGGTTTCACAAATTAAGCCAAAGAAAATTGATGAATCCATCATCTAATAACATTAATCTCTTTCTATGCAAGAAATGTTAAACCAATTTGAGATAAACAACATTTGGGAACTTGTTACAAATCTTTGACTAATCTAGTGATTGAAACTTAAATGGAACTTTCACAATAAGCTTTATGCTTATGAACATGTTTATTACGAAATATTACAATCAACAAAAAAACATAGATCTTGATGAAATTTATGTCTCTATAGCTAGGTTAGAAACCATAAGAATATTATTAGCTTTCTCTTGTATCATGAATTTGAAATCCTCTAAATACATGTAAATAGTGCATTTTTGAACTGATACATTCATATGGAATTGCATGTCGATCATTTTCATGATTTTGTAAGACTCTTATTACTCATGTTTTAAAAATGAAAATAGAACTACTACGGAAAAAACATATGACAACGATTGTTAAATACATATAATGGCAGTTGTATGTCTATTGTTAGGTATTGTGTGATTGTAAATATGTTGCTTTCCACCACGGGCGTGTGACCGTGGTGATCAACTAGGTAGTGCACAACCTATCACAATGATTATCTTAAAAAACTGTAGTGATATATTCAAAAGGTCATGTTTTTGAAACCCAACTGCAACAGTTTAATTAGAATAAAATTAACATTTTGACTTAAGTTTTAAAAGATAACTGTTGTGGTATGTATACATGAGTTTATTATAAAATATAAGAGTTACTTGTTTTTTCCTATCCTGCACTAAACATATACAACCATTCAAATTGATGTAGAATATAATAATCTGATAAATTAAGTTATTCTTGAAAAAAAAAACTTACACGAACCATTGTTTTTGGAATTGTATG